GGCCCAGCTCCCCTCTCCCCCACCCCTCCCCTCCCTTCTCCTCCCATCCACTCCCCTCTCCTCTTCTTTTTTCCTTTCTTTACTTTCTATCCAGTTCTTTTCTTCTTTGACCAGTCCTACGGTTTGAACTCAAGGCCTGAGCACTGTCCCTGAGCATTTTTGTTGAAGGCTAGTACACTATTACTTAAGTCACAACCCCACTTTCCGCTTTTTGGTGGGTAGTTGGACAGGAGAGTCTCATGGACTTTGCTGCTTGGAGTCTATTTGGAGTCTATTGGAGTCATTTCACACACACACACACACACACACACACACAAAATAGTAGTATATTAAAAAAAAAAGCAATGACCTTTGCAGGATGGTTTGCCTTAGAGGCAGCCGGCTGTTACAGATAAATCTAGAAAATGAATCATATCCAAGGCAAGGATGGCTGGTCTCTCACCTCATTCCCTTCTCATGAATGCAGTGTCTGCTTGTCATCCAGCTCCTATGACTTGCTTATGGTTGGTGACTCCTGAGTAACAAAGCTGGGTCAAAGGGCAGCTCTTTTGCTGTTGATCTACATTGTTTATTTCCATTTAGCTTTTCAGCTTTCTAAAGCCCCTGATCACTATGATTTCCACCTGCATTTTTCAGAACAAGCACAAAGCTGATGGGGCAGGAAAGATGATGCCCATGTAGGGCTGTGGCAAAAGTTAGCTCGATCTTTCCTGCAACATATAAGTAGCATCTAGTCCTTCAGGTAGATGAAAATGGCATTTTAATATGAACTAAAAGACCTCTTCCATCCCTTTAATAATAAAAAAGTCTTATTTATGGAATCATTATAAATTAATAGTCATTCTAAAAGTAATGATCCTATAAAATTGTTTTGGACTTGAAATTCAATCACAATATTTTGATTTTGTATTCTGTGCCAGGCACTAAAAATAGAAAATACAGATGCTCGCCAGGTGCCTGTGGCTCACGCCTATAATCCTAGCTACTCAGGAGGCTCATATCTGAGGATCACAGTTTAAAGCCAGCCTGGGCAGGAAAGTCCATGAGACTCTTACTGCCAATAAACTACTAGAAAACCAGAAGTGGTGCTGTGGCTCAAGTGGTAGGGCGCTTGCCTTGAGCTGAAGAGTGCAGGGACAGTGACCAAGACCACAGTACAAGCTCCACAACTGACAAAAAAAAAGAACAGAAAAGAAAAAAGAAAATATCGATACTATTTTGACTTTCTTCAGACTTTCCCTCTCAGGAAGGAGGTAGCAGCCTTCAGGGCAAAACAGGCAGTAGGAAGATAAATTCCTGCAACCCTTGTTCTTGAATAAATTTTAATGTAATGATATTAGGAAGATGTTGAGTTCCAGCTGCATCTAACTTTTAATGTCTGTTTTATATTTAAGTATATATGTAGAAAAAAATGTGACATGCTGAAATATGTGTATAACTAGCTGCATATTTTTCAATTTAGGACTGGTTTATCAGTGATACCTGTATTCTTCCTGCCTATCATTTTATCACTTGGTGTTGTTTTTAAGTTTTGTTTGTACCCCATCTCTTCTGTAATTTTGGTTCCAGTATCTGGAAAATGTTTCCATTCTAGTGATTAGATCCACAGCACATCCTATTTGGTTAAATACTATAAATTGTTTTTAAACATTTTAAAAAACAATTGTATAACATGAATCGTATAATGCAGTTTGTTTGTTTTTTGTAGTTGTGATCTTGAATGCCTGCAAATGCAGTAGGAAGTTAACAAAATCATCCTTTATCCTTTCCAGGTGTCCTCAGTTTCACCCTTTTCTGTGTGCATCTGATTTTAAAAAGATTGCTTCCTTACATGGTAGTGATAAGTTTGATTTGCCCTATGGGATAAAAACAACAGGTCAGTAGTGTTATTCTTACTCTGCCCTGGTAAATTTGAGTGATTTGTGATGAGAACCACATGTTTGTATAATTTTAAGGCCTTTTAATCTTTCTGCTAATAATTCCCAAGGGAGTGATTTTTGGGTTAGGATCAAAGGAAATAAATTTTAAAATATAAATACTTACTCCTTTTGATGCTGTATAGTCAACAAATCCAAAAGTTAGATTTTTGTTATTGAGAAACTGCATTTTGGTGTTGTTCTGACACAGGGTATCCTGAGTGAGCTCTGATGCCTCGCTTTATTCTGGGTTAGAATCAGCAAAACCACCCTAAAGCTACTCATTTCATCTTTTTATCTGTGAGTTTTATTTTATTTCAACCAGCAAGCACTATATCCTTGATCAAAAGTAGAGGATTTATTCCAACAAATAACAAAACACTTTCCCTTGTTTGCTGAAAATTGATAGTTTATGTGGCTTTAAGTTCTGCTTTGGGGCAGGGTTTTAGTGGTTCACGCCTCTAATCCTAGCTACTCAGGAGGCTGAGATCTGAGGATTGTGGATTTTGCTAGCCCAGGCAGAAAAGTCCATGAGACTCATATCTCTAATTATCAAAAAGCTGGAAGTGGAGGTGTGGCTTAAGTGGTAGAGAACTCATGTTAAATAGAAAAAAGCCAAATGAAAGTGGAGGCCCTGAGTATAAACCCCAGTACCTGGAAGAAAAAAATAAAAATTCTATTTTGGGTGAGACCTTAAATCTTAAGAAATGATCTACAATTTTGTGAGTTAGATATTCCTTTTACAATGGATTTACAATGGATCCTGGGTAAGGTGGGGCAGGGTGTGTGTGTGTGTGTGTGTGTGTGTGTGTGTGTGTGTGTAGATAGGTTTTAAAAATGTTTTCCAGAGAATGTTAGCATTTAATTGATTTATACTTACCATTGATTTCTATTTTAGAATCAATTTGAGAATCATCTGATACGGGCAGGGTGTGTGTGTGTGTGTGTGTGTGTGTGTGTGTGTGTGTGTGTGTGTGTGTGTGTGTGTGTATAGGTTTTGTGTGTGTGTGTGTGTGTGTATAGGTTTTAAAAATGTTTTCCAGAGAATGTTAGCATTTAATTGATTTATACTTACCATTGATTTCTATTTTAGAATCAATTTGAGAATCATCTGATACTATGAAATTTTAAGTTATTTTTTATGCTGGTTTTCAGATTAAGTATGTGATCCCTTTACAGGAGGAATCTTTGAGCATTGAGTCTTTTTGAATATGCTTAGTGAATAGTGTGGGATAATTATAGCAGTAGGGCTGATTTTTCACAGATTAAATGTTGTCAGGCAAGTTGGAAATGGGCTTGTAGGGAAGGAAGCAATGTGTTTTACTATTTAGTCATTATACTCCCATTTATTTTCTAGCGGAATATTTTCGACTTGCTCTTTCAAAACTGCAGAGTTGTGATCTCTTTGATGAGTATGACAAGTGAGTTTACTTCCTCTCTTTCCTTCTAAATTCAAAATGTGTACCTTAAGATTATGAGCTGTATTTACTTAAAGAAATTCCATAGCATTTATGCATGACTAAAACTTCTATTTGTTTGTATGACAGTTGAAATAATAATAGTAATAATAATAATAAAATGAATCTAGAAGCTGCATAACTTGGTTGCTCAAGGGTTTGCAGAGTTTAATGATGAACAGTGTTAGTCCTAAGCCAGGACATTGTTAATCCATGAAAATCATTTTTAAGTTATTTCTATTTAAGGATTAATCAGCTCCCAGCCTCTCTTTATGGGCTATTTTCTATACCTTCTCATGGATCCTTCGTGTGCTCCCATATCTTTCTGTTTTACCTGCTAAAAAGGCTGACTATTGACCAGGCACAGTGGTTCACACATGCAATCCTAGCCACTTGGCAGGCAGAGAGAAAGAGGATTGTACTTTGAGGGCAGCTGAAGTAAAAAGTAGTTCATGGGATACTATTTCAGCCAATAAAAAAAATTGGGAATGGTGACATATACCTGTTATCCCAGCTCTGTAGGAAGTGTGAAATGGAAGATCACAGTCCAGGCTGGCTCTCATTGTTAATGCCAGATCCTATCTGCCCTGAGTTCAAAACCCAGTACCACAAAAAAGAAAAACCTATATATGTATTCTAACTAGAGTGTATTTATTTTTTAGAGAAATTTGTTGTCAAGATTACCCAATAGCAATTGTATTACTAAAGATAAACTTCTTGAGCCGGGCACTGGTGGCTCATGCCTGTAATCCTAGCAACTCTAGAGGCTGAGATCTGAAGATTGCAGCTTAAAGCCATCATGGGCAGGAAGGACTGAGACTCTATCTCCGATTAATTGCCCAAAGAGTTGGGCTGTGGCTCACGTGGTAGAGTGCTAACCTTGAGCAAAAGAGCTCAGGGAAAGTTCCTATGCCCTGAGTGAGTTGAAGCCAAGATTGGCGTGCATGCGCGCGCGCGCACACACACACACACACACACACACACACACACACACACAAAGCAAAGCAAAGCAAACAGGAAGGCGTATTTTACCAGTGTGAGAATGTGAGTTGTCTAGAGTTATCAGGTCTCAGTGAAATGGAAAATGGCAGACTTTCCCCTCTTGCCCAAAGATCAGGTATGCCTATTAGTTGCTCTTTCACATTTGAATTTTTTAAGGTTCTACTGGTTTTGTTCAGGTATCTTGAGTAGCATGATGCTCTCAGCTGGGGATGATTGCCCTGTGAATGCAAAAACCTGAATGTCAGTTGTGTTTCCAAGATGGGAGTTTTCCTTTTCCTGGTCCTCACATACGTGGAGTTCGTAGGCTCCCAACAGGCTTCTCTGTAGTGATGCTACCAGTCCTTAGGACACAGCTGCTGCCTTAAATTCCACTAGTCACATCTGTATTCCTGTATCCGTGGGGGAAGATGGAAAGAAAGACATGCCTTACCCTTCAGACTTTTCTCCTTTATAAGCACATCTCCCAGACAGTATGTAATACTTGCTTCTAGTCATGTGTTTTGTACCAGCATACATGCCTTTGCAGCTCCATATGCAGTCCCTGCAAGGAGGAAGTTTGAAATTAGTCACGAAGGGAGTATTTATATCATGGATACTGGCAAACCCTACACCAGAGCTTCTCGCCTTGTCCTCCCGATCTCCCGGTACTGGTTGTCAAATATTTACCAGCTATGACTGTTAACTGTGGAAAGGACTCAGTTTTAAGTTCACATCTTTCTGGAAAGTAAATGGGAAATGTTGCCTTATTCCAGGTGACTAGAGAAGCACTTTTTAAAGCAGTTAAGTTCTGTTAAAGAGACCACACAAGCCTGATGGCTAGTCATTTTTATTCGTCATTCTGCGTCATTTCTCTGGCCTCCATTTGTTTCTGTGTCACTCAGGATTCTGAAATCAGTTAGGAAACTTAGCTCTGTAACATTTGCAGTCAGGGTATCTTTCGTATGTGTTGCTTTTGTTGCTCTTTCATAGATTCAGATTCCTTATTTTCCAAAGCAGAGTTAACACCAGGCTACTGTGTTTCATGAACTTCACTAACAAAGGTATTAGCCATGTGATCATGGCTCAAGCCATTAATCCTAGCTGCTCAGGAGGCTAAGATATGAGGTTCTAGGTTAAAAGCCAGACTGGGCAGAAAAGTGTGAGATTTTTTGTTTTTTTGCTTTCAATTTTTTTTCTTTAAGTAATTGAACAAATAATATAAATAATAGTATAATTAGTGTAATAAATACAGCATTTGTACAGTTTTGCTGCTTATTAATTTTTGAAAAACCTTAAGGTCTTGAATTCTAACAATCTGTCCCTTAGAGGAGAAGGAGATGGTTTATTGTGTCATTTTTCCAGGCTCAGTGGGCTGGTGGTGCCAAAAGCTAGGAGATGGATGAGTCAGGGCCATGTTGCTAGGGGACAACACTGTATTACCCGACTCTAGGCTGATCACAGCAAGGGGAAGTCTCCCTATGTGGCCTCCTCATTTAAGGCTTTTTGCCAGGAACACAGAGTGAACTTTTAATTTGTTTTGGTTAAGTGCCAACGACTCACTCATGTTTGGGAAATTGAAGTGAGCATGGGCAGGATACAGAATGCTGTATGTACCCTATTTCTCCACATATGAGATGCCAAAGAAAGCCAGAGGTACACTGTCAGAGGAGTGGGCAGTGCTGGCCAAAAATGTGTGCGCCTCTCATAGAAAACACACTTGTATTTTATCAGCGTGCAGAAAGAGGAGTGCTTTAGTACTACAGACATTTGGATCCAAATGCTACTTCCACCTCTTTGGCGTGTAACTCTGAAATGTTATATAATAGTCTTACTTCTATTTTTGTTTGCATAATATAATAGCAGATTTATTCAACTCAATGGGTGGTTATGAGAATCAAATGAAAGAATGTGTACAAGCTACCAAGAATTAGTATTTGTTGAAAATGATATACTTTCCCAATAGAATATCTTTTCTGGAGTGTTGAGTATTTCTATACATCTCTAGGCCTGTCAGTTGGTTCTTTTTCAGTGTGTGTACCAAGTGAAATTTGTCATTGGAATATTGAAACTAGGGATAAATTCTTGGAATAACTCCATTTTGAGAAAGATTACTCAGTCTGTCACTTGTCGTTTTGCTCAAAAGTGTGCCGTGTAAAAAGTGTGTGGTGGTTGGTAATGGAGGGGTTTTGAAGAACAAGACATTAGGAGAAAAAATAGACTCCTATGATGTAATTATAAGGTAAATGTATTTTGTATTTGCTAACCTAGAAGTGTTTGAAAATAATATGGTTTCCTACGTTAAGACATCTGTTTTTAATAAAACAATTTGTTTATATACTTGATTATACAAATTTTGTTCTTGTTTGATGTTAGAATGGAACCTACACTTTAAGTTCCTGATGTAGCAAGTATTTGTTACATCCCCTTAATGTGCTAGGCACAATTGGAGCCACTGAGGTGGCCGCAGTGGATCAGAATAGTATTCTTGCTCCCTGTGGAAGTTTTGTTGTCATTAAGGTAAAAAAATGATTTAAAATAGGCAAGAATATAATTATTGTCATTTTGACAATCAGAACAAGATATGATAGGGGACAATTGAGGATCTTGTTGGGAATGGGTGAATACTTTGAGAAGATATTTAAGTTGGACCTAAGTGACCATCTGAAGCAGAGAAAATATTTACCACAGGCTCTCCTCAAATTTGGGGAGGGGAAGGGAAAGGAAAAAAAACAAAATGTTTAAATAGGGATACAGATTGACCCATTGCAACAATGAGATGTACAAGATGCTATGTCAAAAAATGAACCTTACAATTTAGGCAGGAGGTGGGGGGGTGGATGGGAGTAAGGTGGGTGGGGTTTTGGGGAGGGGGTGTAGTTGAGGAGGTGTGAGGGACAGGATGGTAGGGGGAAAACAAAGGAGGAAGCAACAATGCTGGATAAGAAATGTACTCATTACCTTGCTCATGTAACTGTAACCCCTCTGTACAGTATTTTCACAATAAAAAACTTATTAAA